TTTCTCCTCCCCTCTTACCAGAAGTACATGCAAATTAGGGTAATATGTCATCATGTGACCTTTAGCGACCTTTGAAGCTAATGCTAGCTGCTTTCATTGGGAAAGAGACGGTGTTTCTCAATGTCGAGGAAGGATGCTCCAGAGCCAATATTTCAAGGATGCTACGTCATCGAGTCCCGCCGAAGGACTGTTCCAATGTCCAGGATGCTTGGAATTCTACCGAGGCCGGCGTACTTCGTTGCGGGAAATTTCGAGGCTGCACATGTGTAGACCCCGCGTTCTTAAAATCCCCACAATGCTTTGCGCACAGACCAATTTCCAAATCTTTGGCACGCTCCATTGAAGGCGGGGCCTCTCATATGACGCACACCTGTTAGCCTGTTCCACCATTCTTCGTTTTCCGAGGCTAGGAAGGATTCTTGCCTCGCTTCTGAAGGACCTGACTCGGAGGGACTTGTACTACCAAGGAAGCATCCTCGACATTGAGAAACACCCAGAGGGTCACTTTGGTTGTTCCACTTTAGCTGCCATTTCCATTTCTTTGGGATAATAATGCAAAGCAGTTTTATTGGTGTTCTTTAATACCTATGGTTAGCTACCAGGGAAAACAAGTGCCTTCCACTTCCTGTTTGGGTTGCACAATGATTATTCGTAGTAAAAATGAGGCTTATAGGGAACTAATGTTATCATTATCTATTAGCCATTATATTGTGCAATTATCATTTACTTCATTGTGTCAAGGCAACCTCCAAAGACTTCTCATATTCTCCATCACGTCTGAGAGTGCAGTAATACAGGGTTGGTGGTATAATATGCACGCTGTCTGCTTTCCTAAACACACTGGGACTTGGGAATGTCCCTCAATAATTCATTTCCTTCTGGCTTTTTGCGTAACTCTTCATTTGTAGTATCAGTGTCTTCAGCAGCGACAGAGCACTCAGAGAGAGTTTGACACAGTTTGTGGGTGTTTTGGCTCTGAGGCAACGTCTACTAAGGTAACATGTGGACTTGAAGCTTTATTTCAAAGATGTCTACTTCCAGATTAAGGTAAAAGAACAAGCTTTCAATCAAAAAATAGAGGGGCTATCAAAACAATTGTCTATGATTGACATTAGTACTGCACAATGAATCAAGTTTTTACTCAAATGTAATATATTGTTTTACAGAAATGTGAACATTTAAAATCAAAATGATTTATTTTTGCTAAGTTGTGCAGCCCTAATGTACATCCACAATAAGGAAAACAGTAGAAATTGCCACAAAAATATCAAAAATGGGAGCAATTGCAACAGTATACGTATATACGGGAGGCGTGTGGCGCAGTGGGATAGAGCCTTGGTGTTCGGATCAGGGGGGCACAGGTTCAAACCCCACTGCAGTCAGCATGTCGTTGTGTGTGAGATACTTCCCCCCACATTGCTCCTGTAGGGATTACCCACAGTATTGAGTATGTAAGTCGCTTTGGATAAAAGCATCTAACAAGTGACATGTCATGTATACAACAGTATGAATGTAAATGACCTTAAAAAGCCCTCACCCTTATAAACGCTTGCAAGGCAAGGCAAGTTTATTCATATAGCACCTTTCAACACAAGGCAATTCAAGGTGCTTTACAAAAATGAAAGACATTCAGACAAAGGCATTTAAAATCAGTAAAAGATAATAAAAGAAACATTAAAAGAAAAAGTACATGAATAAAAAGTACATGAATAAAAGGTTACAGTGCATTAAGATATGAATAGTTCACACAGAAGTTCCACTTTACTGATGAACACAACGGCTCCGTTTCAATTAAAATTAAAAGCAACGACAAAAAGAAAAGTCTTCTTGCTGGATTTGAAAGTAGTCAGAGTTGCAGCGGACCTGCAGGTTTCTGGGAGTTTGTTCCAGATATTTGGAGCATAATAACTGAACGCTGCTTCTCCATGTTTAGTTCTGACTCTGGGGACAGAAAGCTGACCAGTCCCTGAAGACCTGAGAGATCTGGATGGTTCATCATTTAGCAGGAGGTCAGAAATGTATTTTGGGCCTAAACCATTCAGTGCTTTATAAACCAGCAGCAGTATTTTAGAAATCTATTCTTTGACACACAGGAAGCCAGTGTAAAGACTTCAGAACAGGAGTGATGTGATCCACTTTCTTAGTGTTAGTGAGGACTCGAGCAGCGGCGTTCTGAATCAGCTGCAGCTTTCCTAATAGATTTAGTGAGACCTGTGAAGACACCATTGCAGTAGTCGAGTCTACTGAAGATAAAAGCATGGACAAGCTTTTCCAAATCCTGCTGTGACATTAGTCTTTTAATCCTAGATATGTTCTTTAGGTGATAGTAGGCTGATTTAGTAACTGTTTTAATGTGACTGTTGAAACTCAGGTTTCAACATGTCAAAAGTTTTTAAATCCCGTCTTAAAACCCACCTCTTCTCCTTAGCATTCGTAAACAAGTAGATTGTTGCTTTTATTTGCTTTCAGTGGTCTATTGTTTTTATTATATGGCTGTTTTTTATTTTAAATGTATTTATTTTATGTTTTGTGAGCTTATCTCTCTGTACAGCACTTTGGTCTGAAGGTTTTAAAGTGCTATATAAATAAAGTTGGATTGGATTGGAATATCATTGATGTATATGTGTGTGTTGTCTCTGTTCTGAGTTCATAAACAAAAACAAGATTAAAAAGGAGAAATACTAAAAGCCATATTATTAGGAGAGTAGTCTGGGCTCATTTGAACCCTTTAATTGTATTTATTTATTTTTATTATACTATTTTGTATGTCCTTTCCCACTATTCCTGTCATGCTATGTTTTTTTCTTTATTATTTCTTGTTGGCTGTTCTGTTTGTCTTCTAAGTTGAAAAAGGGAAGCAGGATTTCCACCCCAAAGAAGTCTGTACTACTGCGTACACTTGTATGCTTCTTCGCAATACAAATATTTGAAACATATTATTTGGAGAGTGAAAAGAGCGATGGCGGTCCTCCCTCTGCTGGCTGGGTGGTGAAACTGCAGGCTCAGACAGGAAGGGTTCATTGGGTTCATTCGGTGTCACCGTCACTCTTCTTCTGTGGTGCTGTTATCGACAGCTCTGCAGCAGCACAGAGGCCTCTGAACACACCTTAGTGATGCCTTCACTGGCAGCGGAGAAAAAAGAAAAAAAACACACATCACTCACTCTGTGTGTGTGTGTGTGTGTGTGTGTGTGTGTGTGTGTGTGTGTGTGTGTGTGTGTGTGTGTGTGTGTGTGTGTGTGTGTGTGTGTGTGTGTGTGTGCGTGTGTGTGTGTTTCTTTATTACAGGAGATGGTGGACTGGTTCAATGCTATCAGAGCGGCCAGGTTCCATTACCTGCAGGTGGCCTTTCCCGGAGCCAGTGATGAGGAGGTGAGCATTTAAAGATCACCTATTATGCAAAATCCACTTCTTCATGTCTCTTCTACATCAACATGTGTCCCCTCTTCTTCATGTCTCTTCTACATCAACATGTGTCCCCTCTTCTTCATGTCTCTTCTACATCAACATGTGTCCCCTCTTCTTCATGTCTCTTCTACATCAACATGTGTCCCCTCTTCTTCATGTCTCTTCTACATCAACATGTGTCCCCTCTTCTTCATGTCTCTTCTACATCAACATGTGTCCCCTCTTCTTCATGTCTCTTCTACATCAACATGTGTCCACTCTTCTTCATGTCTCTTCTACATCAACATGTGTCCCCTGTTCTTCATGCCTCTTCTACATCAACATGTGTCCCCTCTTCTTCATGTCTCTTCTACATCAACATGTGTCCCCTCTTCTTCATGTCTCTTCTACATCAACATGTGTCCCCTCTTCTTCATGTCTCTTCTTCATCAACATGTGTCCCCTCTGTGGAAAGAGACTCTGAAAGTTTCAGGAACAAAGATTCTCTCTCTTTTTGATCCATTTCTATAAAAACCTGTCTGAAAATGAGCTGATCAGATTTTGGCCACTTTGTGATGTCATCACGATGTGTTGTCTTGTGTAACCATTAGCCAATCAGCAACCAAGGTACCCCCCCCCCCCCCCCCTTATCACCTGAATCTCCTCCTAGAGCTCCATTGAGTTCTTTGTAACCAAACCTCTCTCAGAGGGGCGTGGGGAGGGGCTCCTTATTTTCATCTAAAGCAGGGGGGTCAAACTCAATTTCATCACGGGCCACATTAACATTATGGTTGCACTCAAAGGGCCGGTTGTAACTTGAAGACTATATAAAAAAATACATATATAAATATTGAATATATATAAAATAATGTATTATATTACATTATTGCCTCTGCATTGGATTATTATCGGATAGGGTAATAACTTCATAACTACGTCTGAAAGCAGAAGTTTAGGGCAAATAATTGCAAGTCTCTTCAGGGAGAATGTCACAAAATGATTTAAAAAGAAAAGCCACATTCTGGAAAAACAAAAACAAATAAGTGACATTTTGAAAAAAAAGTAATGTTGAGAAAAAGTCAAATTTGAGATGCATTGTGGGACATGTAGTTTATGGGCAATGTGCTTCTGTAAAGTTGCATGTAACCATATAATAAACATATTATATTCTTTGCAAGCTCTTGTGGGGCCAAATAAAAAATATAGGTCCTTAATTTACTTCTAAATTATTTGTTTATTTATTTGTTGTGTGTTTTTTCTGCTGAATGACGAATTTGTTTTAAACCTTTGAGCAAACATTTGGTAAATTCAAAATGGTATTTTTTCATGATTCTTTGTGGAGAAAGATTTACAGATTTTACAGATCTCAGTTTTAAGATCGGTCGATTAACTTATGGAAAAAATAATTGAGTCAAATAAGAGGCAAAGACATTGTAATAGCTATCTGTAGCTATTTAGCTCTAAATGCTAACGATAGTCCCAACATCATCCGTCTTTTGTGCCCTTTTTTGCATCCTATTATTTCACGTATCTCTCGTTCGTCTTCTTTCCTCCAGCTGGTGCCTAAACTGACCCGAAGCTTCATGAAGGAAGGATTTATGGAGAAAACCGGTCCAAAGGTTTGCATACTCACTGGATCCTTAAGTTCCTGCAACGTCAAATCAGGATGTATACTATTACTAAACCTCATTACCAAAGTTACATTTGCCTAAATCTGAAAGCATCTGGAGGTCATAGTAGAATAGTTTCCAACTTTTTGGTGACTTCTTATAATGAAGCAATACTTTTTCTTTGAATGTTGTTCAGCTTAAAAACCCTAACTATCACCAAAAAACATTATACTGGAAAAGTTAAAAAAACTGGATTGAAACTTGCAGAAAACCAATTGCAGAAAATTGTCTCTTCAACGTGTAATAGTGTATTTTTCTCTGCCTCAGCACACAGAGGGCTTTAAGAAGAGGTGGTTCACCATGGACGACAGGAGACTCATGTACTTCAAAGACCCTCTGGTAAGACCTCATTATATCCCCTTTGTTTCTGTCTGATCGCTCACTTTCTTCATCAGACTTCCTCTCTCTCTCTGGTCTAAAACCACCAGACTCAGGGACAGTTTCATCCCACGGGAACATAAGACTGTTGAACACCTGAACTGTTGAAAAAACATCCCTAACATTCATCTGGTTTCAACTTACAATTTATTTATCTAATGTATCATATTCCAATTACTTGCACGTATGTCTTATTGTTGTTTGAAGTGGAGCCATGAAAAATGAGAATTGCCTCAGGAATGCCAAGTTTGTTCCTATGAGTCAACTGGAAAGCACATCCATAAATCTAGTCATGATGACCCTACAGCCCGTGCAGACTGGAGTCCAATTCCCAGTCCAATTGGAGTACTTTTCCCAGTACATTGACTACAACGTCTTTGAAGCAGCATTCACCAAAAACCAAACTAGTTTTTTATTGATCAAATATACAGCCATGTTCAAATCTATTCATTATTTAATGTTCAAACAAAGGTGAATGCATTCTTCTATTAATATCGTTCTATAAGCATAATATGTTACATCGTTTATCTGTTAATTATGGCGGTCTTTTCACACTCAAATGGTATTGGCTTCCTCTACAGTGGACATACTGTAACATTTAAAATTAAATAAAGAATTGTCTTAATTGCAAGATGTTTTTTGAACCCTAAATAGGTAGGAAAAGAAAATACAAAACAATTGGGAGACACCTTTGTCCCTCGGTTCTCAGGAGGATATAGAGTCTCCTTGCACTATTTTAACTATTTGCTTTATTGTGTTGCTCTGTTGGAGGAGCCTGTGACCTAAGATTTTCATTGCCATATCTACACTGTAGCTATGTACACATGACAATACAAGCGTTGAATGTCTGCTCTCAGGACGCCTATGCCCGTGGAGAGGTGTTCATCGGCAGTAAGGAGAACAGCTACACGGTGCTCTCCGGGCTGCCCTCCTCCACGCAGGGACACCACTGGAGCCACGGCATCACCATCGTCACGCCCGACAGGAAGTTCCTGTTCGCCTGCGAGACCGAGGCCGAACAGCGCGATTGGATATCGGCCTTCCAGAGGGTCATCAACCGACCAATGAGGCCGCAGGAATACGCAGGTGAGAGACATTTGAATACTGAATGGATTTATTTTCAGTAAGGGAAACATTTAGCCTGTATACTCTCTGAAGTGTTTGCTTTCTAGTAGCATTGTGGAGCAATGGTTTGAAGGAGTGGAGTCTGGTTTGTAAACTTTAATCTCTGAAAAATGAAGGATGTTCTTGGATTCGATGGTATTTGAAGACCAATTTGTTTCCCCTAGAGCACCTGATATATCGAGATGCTTGTTTGTAACAAAGTTAAACAACAATTACCTTCTGAACACATAGAATTACTACAATGAAAAAGCCACTAAAGCTCGGTTTTGTCCTAATGTGTTGTCTTTCATTTAACCTTTGTTACTGTCACAGAAGCATCAGGGGCCATTGTACCACACATTGTTGTTGGAAGTGTGTGAGTTGAACTGGTGAAATTGTATGTTGTAAAGCCCCAGTGGCCCAATGGATAAGGCACTGGCCTCCTAAGCCAGGGATTGTGGGTTCGAGTCCCATCTGGGGTGATTAACTGTTGGCCCCGTAACACAGAGGTTATTAGGTCATTTATTAGAGTTAGAGGAAGTTACTTGGCTCAAACCAAACAAGCATCAAAACAGAACCCAATTCAGTGGACAAACTGTATATGGATCTAGTCACTATTGCCCCTTTCACACAAAGGCGGTTCCAGGGCCGGTTCGGAGCTGGAGTTGAAAAGCACCGGTTTTTCTGTTCACTCTAAGCTGGTTTGTTTCAAGCACCAAAATGTTGTCGGTCTAGGAAGCAAGCACCGCATACGTCACGCTTACGTCGGATCTGTGCTGTGTCCAAATAACATGCGACATCCGCCTTTCCGCCAGCTTGATCTTTAAAATATTTAAAACCATATTTTGTGTGCTGTATGTGTACGAAACAGGTACACAATTGTAGTTTTCATGCCCCAGTGGCCTAATGGATAAGGCACTGGCCTCCTAAGCCAGGGATTGTGGGTTCGAGTCCCATCTGGGGTGATTTACCGCTGGGCCTTTAACCAAGAGGTGTTTGGGTTCATATTAGTGTTTGGAAGATGTTAACCATGTAAATGAGGACATCATGTCAGTGGTCGGTGATAAAAAGTAAAAATCTTCATAGTTAGTTGGAATCGAACTAGCACTCGAACAGAACTCAATTCAGTGCAAACTGTATTGAGAGAAAACCAAATGTGGAATGGTGTCCCCTCACCTCGTTCTGCCACTTAAAGGTCAAAAGCCTTGAGTTTGGCATTTTGACGGGTGTTGTGTAGGAACCAGAAATGATGCAAGAGGTTGGAAGATAATCGAGGCCATTGTTTTCTCATTTAAAACCACATGTTGTCTTCTGTATGTCTAAAAAAGTGGTAAACATGTGGGTGTTCATGCCCCAGTGGCCCAATGGATAAGGCACTGGCCTCCTAAGCCAGGGATTGTGGGTTCGAGTCCCATCTGGGGTAACTTATAGCAGAAGAGTGTGATTATTGTCTCTTTCACACAGTGAGAGTGTACTGGGCCCCTAACCAGGAATACAATGGATCAGCCACAGGTAGCATTTTGAGCCCCAGTGGCCCAATGGATAAGGCACTGGCCTCCTAAGCCAGGGATTGTGGGTTTGAGTCCCATCTGGGTTGATTGACAGCTGGGCCTATAACCAAGTGCTGTTGGGTTCATATTAGTGTTTGAGAAGAGTTAGAGGTTAGTGTTAACCGTGTAACTGAGGACATCATGTCAGTGGTTGGTGATTCAAAGCAAAAATATTCAAAGTACACAACAGAACTCAATTTAGTGTGAACTGTGTTGAGAGAGAACCACACGTGGAAAGGTGTCCCCTCACCTTATCTCTTGTTCTGCCACTTACAGTTCAAAAGCCTTGGGTTTGGCATTCTGGCTGGGGTTTTGTAAGAACCAGAAGTGACACAACAGGTTGAAAGATAATCGAGGCCATTGTTACCTAATTTAAAACCACATTTTGTGTGCTGTATGTGTACGAAACGGGTACACATGTGTAGTTTTCATGCCCCAGTGGCCCAATGGATAAGGCACTGGCCTCCTAAGCCAGGGATTGTGGGTTCAAGTCCCATCTGGGGTGATTGACAGTTTGGCCTGTAACCCAGAGGTCTATGGGTTCATATTAGTCTTTGGGAAGCTTAGTGTTAACCGTGTTACTGGAGACATCCTGACAGTGGTTGGAAAGAAACAAACAGTTTTGCAGTTGGTTGAAATAAAACCAGCACCAGCACTCTACTGGAGCAGAACTCAATTCAATGCAGAATGGATTGAGACAGTCATAGTCAGATTTTAAAAGGTTTGCCCAAAGTGTGATACAAAGCAAAAAGATTCAAAGTACTACAACAGAACTCAACTTAGTGCAAACTGTGTTGAGAGAGAACCACATGTGGAAAGGTTTCAAACCAAACAAGCATAAAAACAGAACTCACTTCAGTGGACAAACTGTATATGGATCTAGTCACTATTGCCCCTTTCACACAAAGGCGGTTCCAGGGCCGGTTCGGAGCTGGAGTTGAAAAGCACCGGTTTTTCTGTTCACTCTAAGCTCCGGAATCCGGTTTGTTTCAAGCACCAAGATGTTGTCGGTCTAGGAAGCAAGCACCGCATACGTCACGCTTACGTCGGATCTGTGCTGTGTCCAAATAACATGCGACATCCGCCTTTCCGCCAGCTTGATCTTTAAAATATTTAAAACCATATTTTGTGTGCTGTATGTGTACGAAACAGGTACACAATTGTAGTTCTAATGCCCCAGTGGCCTAATGGATAAGGCACTGGCCTCCTAAGCCAGGGATTGTGGGTTCGAGTCCCATCTGGGGTGATTTACCGCTGGGCCTGTAACCAAGAGGTGTTTGGGTTCATATTAGTGTTTGGAAGATGTTAACCATGTAAATGAGGACATCATGTCAGTGGTCGGTGATAAAAAGTAAAAATCTTCATAGTTAGTTGGAATCGAACTAGCACTCGAACAGAACTCAATTCAGTGTAAACTGTATTGAGAGAAAACCAAATGTGGAATGGTGTCCCCTCACCTCATCTCTTGTTCTGCCACTTAAAGGTCAAAAGCCTTGAGTTTGGCATTTTGACGGGTGTTGTGTAGGAACCAGAAATGATGCAAGAGGTTGGAAGATAATCGAGGCCATTGTTTTCTCATTTAAAACCACATGTTGTCTTCTGTATGTCTAAAAAAGTGGTAAACATGTGGGTGTTCAAGCCCCAGTGGCCCAATGGATAAGGCACTGGCCTCCTAAGCCAGGGATTGTGGGTTCGAGTCCCATCTGGGGTGATTTATAGCAGAGGAGTGTGATTATTGTCTCTTTCACACAGTGAGAGTGTACTGGGCCCCTAACCAGGAATACAATGGATCAGCCACAGGTAGCATTTTGAGCCCCAGTGGCCCAATGGATAAGGCACTGGCCTCCTAAGCCAGGGATTGTGGGTTTGAGTCCCATCTGGGGTGATTGACAGCTGGGCCTATAACCAAGTGCTGTTGGGTTCATATTAGTGTTTGAGAAGAGTTAGAGGTTAGTGTTAACCATGTAACTGAGGACATCATGTCAGTGGTTGGTGATTCAAAGCAAAAATATTCAAAGTACACAACAGAACTCAATTTAGTGTGAACTGTGTTGAGAGAGAACCACACGTGGAAAGGTGTCCCCTCACCTTATCTCTTGTTCTGCCACTTACAGTTCAAAAGCCTTGGGTTTGGCATTCTGGCTGGGGTTTTGTAAGAACCAGAAGTGACACAACAGGTTGAAAGATAATCGAGGCCATTGTTACCTAATTTAAAACCACATTTTGTGTGCTGTATGTGTACGAAACGTGTACACATGTGTAGTTTTCATGCCCCAGTGGCCCAATGGATAAGGCACTGGCCTCCTAAGCCAGGGATTGTGGGTTCAAGTCCCATCTGGGGTGATTGACAGTTTGGCCTGTAACCCAGAAGTCTATGGGTTCATATTAGTCTTTGGGAAGCTTAGTGTTAACCGTGTTACTGGAGACATCCTGACAGTGGTTGGAAAGAAACAAACAGTTTTGCAGTTGGTTGAAATAAAACCAGCACCAGCACTCTACTGGAGCAGAACTCAATTCAATGCAGAATGGATTGAGACAGTCACAGTCAGATATGAAAAGGTTTGCCCAAAGTGTGATACAAAGCAAACAGATTCAAAGTACTACAACAGAACTCAACTTAGTGCGAACTGTGTTGAGAGAGAACCACATGTGGAAAGGGCTCAAACCAAACAAGCATCAATTCAGTGGACAAACTGTATATGGATCTAGTCACTATGAAGCCATCTGTTAATATTTGGGCTACAGATTAGAAGCCTTGAGTTTTGCATTTTGACCGTTGTTTAAACCAGAAACGACACAAGAGATTGGACGTAGGGTCATTTTCTCATAGACTTCTATATAAATAGAATACATTTTTGGCTGTATGTGGACAAAATTGGTAAATCAGAGTGAGGTGAAGCCCCAGTGGCCCAATGGATAAGGCACTGGCCTCCGAAGCCAGGGATTGTGGGTTCGAGTCCCATCTGGGGTGATTGACAGCTGTGCCTATAACCAAGTTCTGTTGGGTTCATATTAGTGTTTGGGAAGAGAAAGATGTTAGATGTTAACCGTGTAACTGTGGACTTCATGTCAGTGGTTGGTGATAAAAACTAAAAATATTCATAATTAGTTGTAATCAAACTAGCACTCGAACAGAACTCAATTCAGTGCAAACTCTATTGAGAGAAAACCAAATGTGGAATGGTGTCCCCTCACCTCATCTCTTGTTCTGCCACTTAGAGTTCAAAAGCCTTGAGTTTGGCATGTTGGTGGGTGTTGAGTAGGAACCTAAAGTGACAGGAGAGGTTGGAAGATAATCGAGGCCATTGTTACCTCATTTAAAAACACATGTTGTCTTCTGTATGTCTAAACAAGTGGTACAAATGTGGGTTTTCAAGCCCCAGTGGCCCAATGGATAAGGCACTGGCCTCCTAAGCCAGGGATTGTGGGTTCGAGTCCCATCTGGGGTAATTTATAGAAAAAAATGCAATGATAGGCAACTGAATAAGGTCGTCTTTCAACCAGAAGATTGTGGGTTCGATCCCAGCCCATGCAGTCAACATGTCGATGTATCCTTGGGCAAGACACTTAACCCTGAGTTGCTCCCGATGGCATGGCCGACAGTGTGTGAATGTGTATGAATATTAGTTCCTAGAGTAAGGTACACTGCTCTGTATGAATGGGTGTGAATGGGTGAATGACATGTAATATATAAAGTGCTTTGAGGGCTCTTAAAAATACTGGATAAAGCGCTACACAAGTACAGTCCATTTACCATTGTGTCTTTCGCACAGTCAGAGTACTGGGCCCCAAACCCTGACTACAATGGATCAGCCACTGGCCCCCTAAGCCAGGTATTGTAGGTTTGAGACCTTTCTGGGGCCATTTACAGCTTAAATACAAAGCATAGGGCTTCTATTTCATGATAAAAGAATACATCTAATAAAGAAGGCTCAGTCATGTAAGCTTATACACCATGGACAGCGCCACACCTTTGTACAATGTCTATAAACAACAGCAAAAATCACAAGGCTTATCTGTGACTACATGTCTCCCCCTCCTCTTGTTTCTTGTTTTCTTGTTGTTACTCTCACATCATCAGGGGCCATTGGTATCTCATTTGAAACGACGCATTGTGTTACCCGTATTGTTTTTATTCAATGAAAATGTCCTGTAAGTGTACGAAACAGGTGAACATTTGGGATCTATATCACCATTCAAACATCTTTTATAAGTTTATAACAAACCCCACACAGCTCAGTAAAGACTGTGAGATGTTGACTTTATTTGATCATTTCAGTAAAAACTAACGTTCATATTTCTCTTTTTGATTATAATACTGATGAACGTTCAAAACAAAGCACTTTGGCAACTTACCACATACGTTTTAAAAAGCTTAATAAGCACCGTAACTTTCATGATATCATTTATTGGTCATGATCGGTTGTTTCCGTGAACGGCCGAATGTTCTGTGACGGAAAATGCTGCGACTGCAATGCATTGTGGGGCAGCATTTTCTCCTTTCCTTTCGTAAAGGAAGGCCCAGTGTTTCCTAAGCTAAAGGAGGTTATAAAGGAAGTTTGAAATCTCCTTTCCTATCATCTAGAGAATTCAAACGGCACTTATCATGGCTGCCACTGAGGGACTTCCGGGTCATTTCACTCCGTTAGGAAGGTTCCTAAGCTAAATGGACTATTCGACCGCAACCCTAGACTACAATGAATAAGCCACTGTCCATTCTTTGTAGGTTTGAGTCAAATCTGAGGCCGTTAACAGCCCAAAAACCTGTCTAACCTATAGAACTGCCTCCCCGTTCTTCTGCTTCAACTAACTTTATTTTCTTGTGTCTTTTCAGTGGAGGCCCATTTTAAACACAAGCCTTGAAGACTGCAGGAAGACGAAACTCAGCGAAGTCTCATCAGATCAGAGACAATCCCAACGTGTGACCTGAGACCATGTGGGGATAAGAAAATGAAAATATAGAGACAAAGGGACTGGAGCCTATCTGTGTGAAGAAAACTTGAACTCAAATGGGACTGAATGGGTAGATGATGTCATCACTACGCGCCTACCAAACTCGTGCTAAACATTACCATCCCACCTTTCCTCAGCCATCTGGATCATTCCCTTTCTCTCGTCTGGTTCATCCTACCTGTAATCTAATGTAATTATGTAATCTAGAGTCATTTCACTGGTTGCTTATAACAAAGACAATGCATTGTTAATTTATTGAATGTACAGTTTTGATGACAGTGGCTTAAAATGTGTGTGTGTGTGTGTGTGTGTGTGTGTGTGTGGAGTTTTCTGTTGAGGATGCTGTGAGGTTGAACCTCTGGCACTGAGACCCTGTTAAAAAACCTGAATCTACAAAGTGCTGTTAACAACAATTATGCATAAAAACACACACCTGAAATCTCTCAGTGATCACCGTGGCTGTTAAGGTGGCCGAAGGGTTCTTTAAAACCTCCATGTTCTCTTATTTATTCGTACCGTCGGACATATCATCGTTGTTGCTGCTTTTAAAAAGGATTGTAATGTGACAGGATTGTAATTTATACAACACTTCTACTCTGCAACTGGTTTGTTTGACCATCTGGTTTTGAAGACACGTTGTTGTGTTGAACCTTAAATCACAGTGACAAGTTTGTTTCATTATAAAAAAACTTAACATGAATACAGATGAAGCTGAAATCAAGTGGAAGTGATGGATTTGTTTTCTTTGCAAATATGTCTGTTTTAAACAATTGTACTTTTCAACACTAAGGGGGTTTATTGAAGCACATCCAAGAACATTAAGGTGTAAGCTAAGTGTAAAGCCACTGGTAATGAAGGTGCAGTTACATCCATTTACACAGCAGAAGATGGATCACCAGTAATGCAGATTGGTGACGGATTAATATGGAGGAATAAATTAATTAATATGGAAATAAATACAGGAATAAATTAATAAAATAATTAATAAATTAGGAAATATATACAGAAATAAATACAGGAAATTAAAATAATATTAATAATACATTTTTTTCAGAATTCTTATATTTGCAGGACAACAAATATTCAGAACATCTTTTTCAAAATATATTTTTATTTCAGAACAAAAATACATTTATTTCAGAGTTCTCAGACTGAAGACAGAACTCTATTTTTTATTTTATTAACTTTTTTTCTCATGTCCTACACCGTAAAATTCCACTACACTGCGATGCTGAAACACATGGAAGGTCAAAACTGACATTTAACTAAGAAGGTAAGATGTATTTTATACACCAGTAGATGGCGCTCTTCAGTCACCTGTTAAAGGAGATCTGTGCAGCGGGAGAAAGTGTGTGTGACCTGCTCTGTGTGTGAATGTCCAACCCAGGCTGCTTCTCAGGTCGACTATTTTCATTTCCTCGCTCCTCGGTCCTCGGTCTCACCGGAAGTTGATTTGCCTACGCCATCTTGAGTACCGTCCCATGGCTCTTATTTCTGCCGGAGGAGCGAGGAGCGATAATAGAGGAGCGATAATCGAGGAACCACCAGACCATCCTCCGGTGAAATCCTCAGATACTCGCCCCGCCCCCTTACTGTGTATCGCTCACTGATTGGACGATGCAGTGCATGCACTGATCTCATGCTTCTTGACATGAGAGCCGTTTCCCAGCGGAGTGAAGAAAACACATGAACCTCACGAGACTCACTCCTCAGTTTATACCGTGTTTTGTTTCAATTCATGTTTCATTTAGTTACAAATATGTGATATATCTGAACAACAAAGTGGTCAAAAATCATTTTATTCATTTGTTGGAAACATTTTCATGATCGCTTTTTTCGTTTTACATTTTCATTTATTGTCATTTCCATTCAGTCAGTCATTAAGTGCTATTAAAATGTTAATGTGCTACATATCCAAACAAACAAACAAAGTGTGCAATCCAATGAATGTTAATCTAACTGGGTTTTGATAGATAACATATCTCTTTTTCTTCTCTCAATTATTGTATTTATTTTGTGCACTCTAATCAATATTAATCAAACTAATGTTCGTTTATACATTTTAAGAATGGCGTTTATCTTTTTTGAGAATGAGTTCTTATTTGATTTGATTTATTTGGGTCTACAACAGATGATACAAATGTTTGTGTCAGTAAATGTGTACTAACAGAGGCGGGGGTGTGTGTGGAAATAACGGGGACAGAGCTGCTGTCAGACGATCAGCTGTGCAGCGTCATCACAAACGGACGTCGCTTCACGTGACGCTCCGGAGGAAAGGACGTCCCATTGCTCTTAAAACTCATTTCCCTGCTTCTCGTGGTTTCCTTGCGTCCCTCCATGCTTCCCTGGTGGGAGGGACTAAACGCAGGGAAACGACGCAAGTGAGGGAAGCAAGGATTTCATTTAATCGACCTGAGAAGCTTCAAGCAGCCCCAGTCTCATGGCATTTCGTGTTCACCAACACCATTTTTAATCTATTGATTCGTGTTCACCCACACGATTTTCCCCTTTTTTTCGTGTTGCACAGCACGATTTTAAAAGCAATGTATTTCTACTGGTAATGTGTTTCGTGCCTGCAGCACGTCTTTTTCTCCGGTCGGGTCGTGGAAGACCGGAAGCTGTGTGGTTCATAAAAACATGTTCTTACTCAATATCAAGCCACAATTATTGCTTTTATTTTAAATCGTATAATTTCTGACTTTTGTTGCCGTCTGTGAGGAAAATAAATGGGGCTCAGAGCCTCAGGATACTGAAATCTGTATTTTTTAAACATTTTTTTCCTTCTAATTTGTTATTATTTTCAAAATAACACACTGTTATTTACTCACCAATAACACACAATTATCCTTGCTTTTATTTATTGTTTTAATTCCATCATCTCTGGCTTTTTTGGCATCCGTCTGGAACTGAATTTCAAAATAAAAATAACCGGAAACAGACGTAGGCTTCTAGGAGTTTAGGATGGCCGAAGACACTACACTACCCATAATCCCCAGCTATCGTTTAGGACTACAGTCCCCGTGATTAATCTTCAAGCTCTGGGATTGGATGTTGGAGTGGCAGTGCGCCAAGGTTACGCAGAGCGTCAAACAGCTGTGTGAAATGGAACGAAACCACGCCAGACTTTCCAAAACTGGAATCGAACGCCCCCCAGAACTACACATGCTGGCTATTGTGTTCCGCAAAATGTTCTATGGGACGTCTCTACTGAACGTTTTCGTTTTCCCCACAATTAGTAGTTGCCAGTATTAAACACATTGGTGTTATCAAATGTAAAACATATAATTAATAAATGGGTGAAAATCGCTTGTGTCCATAATGCGCAGCATTAATATATACCCACATGACAGCTCATTGTTACTTTGTAATTCTACTCCACTACAATTCAGAGGTTAACCTGGTATTTTTACTCCACTACACTTATTTGAGTTACTTTGCAGATTCTGATTAATGATGTGAAATATAAACAACCCTTAAAGCAGACTTTAGTTACACCTGAGTAAAATTCAGGGAAGGTGATTGTCAAGTGCCAACAATCAGGAGAGATATTTGATAGTTGGTGCTTGAGAAGACTAAACATGTATCTGCAATTGACATGAATGGAAACGAGTAATAAAGTATATTCATTACTCGTTATTCTCTACTAATAGTTCATTAAAGACTGTATATTATGGCTATTTTGCACATCCCTTTCAAGATTTCAAGATTTTCAAAGGTGTATTGACATATCATATACACAACTACGGTGTAGTTATGCAATGAATGAAAACCTTAGGTCACAGGTTCCTCAACAGTGCATTACAAGACATCTATCAATATGTGTGAACCTCCACCATTAAACTGTCATATTCTGCACATTTCTTATACTATCTACATACATAAGAGTATAATTCATATGTATAATATCAGTTAAAATAAGTGCTTCAACATAGTTAACATTGCAGGAAAGCAATATATTAGACGTTAAGTACTTTGTCCGGCTTAATATTTATCTGTAGATAGATACCCCCAAAGTGTTTTTCTTATTTGAAAGAAGACCTTAATCTAAAGTATTATTTAATGTTTAAATAAAGGTTAATTCGTTTTTCTCTTTTGCACCTCCTCATATTAATACCTTTGTACATCCGGCACTAAACTGTTTTATTGTAGAGATCACTTACAGTATCTTCTTGATTTTGTATATTCTATATTTCTATCACAGACCTTCTACTTTCCTCCTATGAAAGTATGTACTCTTAATATTTTTTTAATCAAATATAACACATAAAAACAATAATTCAATAACGTGCTTTAACCACTAGGCGGTGCACACAAGGTACACACAGCCATAATAACTTTGTGTTATTAGTGTAGGACACTTATGTATGTACAACATCTGAAGATGTGTAGTTTTATGCATGCTTTCACATAATTTTACAGCATATTGCTATCCTATTTCAGACTCAGTATTTACATTCTTCTATTCAAAGAAAATCAGTAACATCTTTAAAAACTACAAGTCCTTTTATATCAGCTGTGCACCGTTATGGTGTAAATATAACCTATCTGTGAATTAGATCAAATGTAAAAGTCTGCCGAATTATTGTTGATACTGCAAGGAGACGTATTGTGTGAAGAGAAATTGAAGATGTTGTTTAATTTTAATTTAATTTTAATTGTTGATATATTTATGATCCGCATCAAGTATTCAGTTTCGGCGGCATTTCTTCCAGTTTCTCCAAAGGTCTTCTCATCAGGGCTCTATAAATCAAGAACTACGGCAGATCTGTAATATGTAATGCCTTAGGATGGCGATAATTGGATGACCATTTTAGTTTTCACTTAATTTCACTGTAAATTGCATGAAATTATGAGCTGTTTTGTTTTGTTTTAATTTTGTTGTTGATGTTTTGAGTGTGTGAGGACCCCAGGAAGAATAGCCAATGCTCATGCTAGTGCTAATGGGGATCCTAATAAAGACAATAACAAATAAAAAATGCTGCCGAACCGTGTATTACAATGCCGTTATGTGATGACTTTCAAAGAGAAAAGCAAGAACACTCGGAATTAAGTATTATTTTATTCTTTTAAAATGTTTTCCGGATTTCATATCATATAAACACCAAATCCCAGCATGCATTGCGGCTAAAACATCCAATCAGCGAGCTTAAACCATAGCTGAGGATCTTGGGTAATCGCTCGTAATGCCTACGTCTGTTTCCGGTTATTTTTATTTTGAAATTCAGTTCCTGACGGACGCCAAAAAAGCCAGAGATGATGGAATTAAACCAATAAATAAAAGCAAGGATAATTGTGTGTTATTGGTGAGTAAATAACAGTGTGTTATTTTGAAAAGAATAACAAATTAGAAGGAAAAAAAGATTTAAAAACACAGATTTCAGTATCCTGAGGCTCTGAGCCCCATTTATTTTCCTCACAGACGGAAACAAAAGTCAGAAATTATACGATTTAAAATAAAAGCAATAATTGTGGCTTGATATTGAGTAAGAACATGTTTTTATGAAACACACAGCTTCAGGTCTTCCTCGACCCGACCGGAGAAAAAGACGTGCTGCAGGCACGAAACACATTACCAGTAGAAATACATTGCTTTTAAAATCGTGCTGTGCAACACGAAAAAAAGGGGGAAATCGTGTTGGTGAACACGAATCAATAGATTAAAAATCGTGTTGGTGAACATGAAATGCCATGAGACTGGGTTGGAATGTCACCTGATGATCT